TAAAAAAAAAAAAAAAGTTGTTTTTCTTTTTAACTTATCCTGGAAGTAGATGTCTATACAAAATACATAGGGATCATCTTGACACTGATACCAGTATTCATGCTTGGAACATGCAGGATTGACTGGCTGCATGCTTTCCAGATTTACTCCCACAAAAGTCTGGTATTTCTAACAGGGGAAGGTATTGATGCAAATAAAAATATTTCCATGTTAGGAAAAGTTTTAGCCAGACACTGGTATCAGTAGATTTATTTTGAAGCCTCTCTGGGTTGTACTGTTTACGTTTTGGGGTTGTTTGTGGGGTTTTTTTGTTTTGTTTTTTAGCTTGGCAGATCTCATCAGCTCCCTGTGTGGAGCTTGTTTGGCCTTGCTTATGAAGCTTTATAGAAATGCAACTATGTTGTATTCATCTACCTGCAACATTTTCACTTTCTTACCCTTGCGTGGCAGCATTTGTGTTGTTCCACTTGTTTAAAAGAAAGATTTACTCTCAGCCTCTGTCCCAGAGCTCTGAGCAGCACAGATGCCTGTTTTCTTATGTTTTGGAAGCCCATGAGGTTTCCAACTCAAAATCTGAGAAGGCTGGGATAAGCAAGACTGACTAGCTTTGAGGAAAAGAAAGAAATCTGTATAATGGCAAGGTTCAAATTAATATTGAAATACCATTTCTGAATATTTGTTTATAGCACCAAGTCAGCAACTCACTAAGCCCATGAAGAGACACATTACTGACTAGCACCAAGCTCCTTGGAAACAGTGCTGGATGCACCGTGCATAAGTATTTTTCCAGGCTGTCCTGATAGTGACAATGGAGGATTACTCTTAATCACATCGAGCAGTTCTTCCCACTGCCATCAAAATACCCTTCCCACAGCAAAAGGGGAAAGCAACAGAAGTGTACCCTTACATTCTTACAGCAGCTCAAAGGCCAGGTTGAGTGTCAGACCATCTCTCACATAAACACCCAGCCCACTGGCTTGCCCAAAGAAAACACTTGCAACTGTTAGTACCTCACAGGAACATTAAAAAATATTACTTTACGGCAAAAAGAAACTTACAGGAGGACTTTTAAAATTAAAGAACACCACTAAATAAGAAGGTAAATCACCAAGAAATCTAAGCTGACATTAAGAAAGGCTTTTCAGGATAGATATTTCTGCCAACTAGGCTGTTATAGTACTGAAAATAAATACTGTTTAACCATTCATTTGAAATTGAAAAGATAAGGAAAATCCCACCTTGTTATGACAACCTATGTGCATAACTGGCTGTACCTTATGCTAATAATGCAAAGTAGACACCACAAGGATTTAAAACAAGTGTCTGTTTTTTCTAGGCATATGCAAAAATAAATCATTTTTTATTTGACCTGCAGTGATCAAAAGAAAGAACTTCATACAAGTCACAAATAACCACATAATTTAAAAACAGTGCTTTTATGCTGTGATTGCTTGGTAACTTTGCTGCAGGAGAAAACATAAAGAAACTATTAGATCCATTTCCACCTTTAAATCAGAATATATGGAAATGAGTTTAAGGTACATCTACAAGTAAGGTGAGCAATCCAGATCAGCATGTTTGGCAAATCACTGCTCAGATCACTCTGTTGATAAGAGCCTGGGTCAGAAAATCTAGTGTCAGCTCAGGAACTTTGCCTAGTCTGAGCAGAGGCAATGAGATGTTTCCCATCTGTTTCCACTAGCTGTTTCTAAATCCTTAAGGGCTGAAGCTCATTTTTGCAAGATATAGTGATGGGAAACCTCTCTGAGGATCACAGGTCTTGCTGTGCTTGTCTTTCATACCAACCTAAATTTTTTTAAACACAACAGGAGTCAACCAGGCCAGCCTTTGGAAATACCCAAGTGCTAGTTCATTAAGGTAATTTAATTTGCCTGGGGCTAAGGCAGCTGCTCTCCAGAATGGCAACAGAGCCACGTTAAAACTGGGGGAATGACCTCATTGACCAGTGCCAGAGTCTGCAGTGAGTTTGACCACTACAGGCAAGGTCTTTGAAGTCCTGCAGTCTGCTGCTTGTTGGCATTCAGGCACCATCTCTGGGGTGGCAGGGCAGAAACTGCAGACCTTCCACAGAAATACAGTAGATTTTAGAGGAACATGTTATGAAAAGCAACTGCTAGCTCACCTCTTTTCCAGGCAAATGACCTTTGCAAAGAAAAAAGTAACACAGTAACGTTTCCATGAATTAAAGTTAATTATATGAGCCTTCTGTATTTATAACTCATGTGTGAATAGAAATAGGGAAACATCAATTCACATTTTCTAATTACAGTACTGTTGTTTAAAAGCCCTCACTAATGAAGCTGTCACAGTCTCAGTTCCCTATTTACAAGGCTACGCAGCTTAAAAAAAATCCTCTGCTTTTTTGCTTGTTAATGACAAGCTTTTACATTTTATTCCCCTGCCTCCCAGCAGGTGAACTCTACATACAAAATAAAGATACATTTCTAGAGCTTTTTTTAATTATTCCACCTATTTGAGGGCTTGATTAAAAACTTTCGGGAAATGGCCAACAGCCTACACATTCAGTTTTACCTTGCCAGGGCCATGGTTATTCAGACTGGTGCTCACATGCAGGGCTTGCATGAGCAGCTCAAAGAATTGTCATGGTTTGTTGAAAATAAAACAAACCTTCAAGATGTCCTTTACCATCCCTCTTCAGAGAAATAACATGGCACAATCCACATACTGTACTAGACTTTACAAGGCCCCTGCAACTCCAAACATAGCTACAGCACACACATGGCTGTGAGGGAAGAGGGCAAAGGAGGCAAAAAAGGTACAAGGAACACCATTGTATCATTTATCAGTGCTCTTTGAGACTGTTCTCTCAGAGAAAAAAAACCTCTGAGGTGCCCTTCAAAGGAACAGACAGGGACACCATTTACTGTGTTTAGAAACAAGCAAGGTAAAATGTCCTTCTAAAAATACACCAAACTTCTTATCAAAAGAAAAACCACACACAAACAACACCCTTCTTCACAAATTTCAGAAGCGTGAAAGATTTAAAAGTTCACAGTTGAAAACAAACCAAAGCAAATAAAAGTACCTGTATTGAGAAGAACTCCCAGACAGTATCACCAGCACAGCTGAACCCTCTCTGCAACATACATTTCACCCAAGAGGCAGGGCAAGCCCCTCATATCCTTTCTGTGTATGCACTCAGGTGTGGTTGATCTGGCTCTGCTCCTTAAGGACTTTTCCTTTCTTCCTTAGAGGTCCTTAGGACCATTCTGCTTTTTCAGAGATAAGCTGCATGAGCTTAGGAACCCTGTTGTAAAATATCAGCATTATTGAATTACTGCAAAACCTTTCTATTTTATTAGCATGTTTTCCAACCACCAATATTTTGCTGCAGCTTTATGTAAAATAAATGAAGTGCTTTTGAACAGTGGGAAATTCATCAGCTCAGGAGGACATGATGTTCAGCATAATTCCCCCTCCATTGGGACCTTCTGTTTAGGCTGCTCTAACTCTTCGGATGATGCCCTTCCTAGCCTACAGATGAACTAGAGTGAAGAAAGGGCAGAGAAAGCTTTCACCCACCTCAGGACATCTCCTCTTCCACATGTGACTTTTTGATTGTGCTTTAAAGACAAAAGTTTCCCACTGCAGAACCAGGAAAGGAAACACACTAGCTAGCCCATTCCTAATGCATAGGGGGACTAAAGATGGAAGATCAATATAAAAATTGTACTATGACAACACAGGAGTGTCACTAAGGGCTTGCAGCATCTTTCTCCCCAAAAAGCTGTATCATGGACACCTAGCAGCAGCTCACCCATGGGCACAGGGAATGATTTGATCCTGTGTAGCCTGTGGAGACACACTCACTCTGACCTGGCTGCATTTTCAGGTGAGCACTGCTAAACACATAACCTTTATTTTTTATACTTAATTATCATCTTGGTATGCTAGCAGTAGGATTAAAACCTGTCATCAAAATGCCTACACCCAAAATTTCAGTCAATCCTGGCTAAATTTTAACCGAGTGGAATGGTATGTATTTGCTCTGTTGAGCTGGCCTTAAATTGAGTTTTGCCCAAGTGGAAAGGCAACTGTTACAGGCACACTCAGAAGTGGGCCTGAATTCCTCTTATATCTCTTGCCATCCCACTCTGTTACCTTATTAGTTGGTCTCTGCCTGTAGTGATAAAAGTGGTATTTAGGTCAATGTGTTCTTTGTTAATTGTATTAGCCATGTGCCTAAGATCTAGGCTTCCTCTTCTCCCAGCACTGCCTTTGGCTATTAACATGTGGTCTTTAAATATATTTCACTCTTACAGTGTTCTTAATCTGTCAGGTGAGATGGATAGAGTCTGTTTTCAGCAGACTAAGATGATCAGTGGAATGCTAATTACAAAATCCACATGGATGACAAGACCCTTTTTTATAAAGAAACACAAGACATTTCATATGCTACTTTTAATACTAAGTCCCTAGGAGCAGAGGGAAGAAACATATTTGTGTTCTGCCTATGAGGTCTAATTATATTAACAATACAGGGCTTTTTTTTTGCTGCCAACATATTTTGGAACTTTGTTTTATAAATAGGATAATTTCCCTTAAAAAAAAAACAAACAAACAATATTGGCTTTTATCTTCAAAAGGTTTTTTGGTTTTGTTTTATTTAAATCACATTTTATTAGCATATTTATTCCTTACATGATAGCAAAGATCAGAAGTGTGTTCAACCCACATCCACACACACGTATAGGTCTCCCAAAGCAGACTGAGCAAATGGAGAACTTCTGGCTTGAAAATTGAAAATATTAGCAGTATAGCAAAATCCAGCAGATGGAGAGGCATTACTTTAAATTAGGGGCATCAAAATCAAGAGAGCTCTATTTTCAGATGTAAAGAAAAATGCCTTCTTCCTGTTTATTTATGGAATGCAACTGGATCCTACAAACTAGCCAAAATCCAGACAGCCAGATAAAAATGAATTATTGAATTCCAACACCAGCAGAGGCTAGGAGCTCCCCTTAGCTAAGCTACAGGTTTGCATTTAACTTTATTCCCAAGGACATTAGCTACTGCTTGAACAGGAAATAAATATCCTGAAACTATTTGCTAACTGTTCAGCTTTGGAAGAGAATATTGTTCTGAATGCCTCAAGATTAGGGCTCTGTAAAATTCGTGTCAGAGGACCTTGGCCCCTTCCCTTGTGCTCTGCCCATCACCGCTCTGTCCAGGCGGCTGTGGGGTAGCGTTCCAGCAGCGCGTTCCTCAGCTGGGCTGTGTGGATCTTGTCTCTGGTCTCCACAGTGCAGGTGACCTGGGAAAAGAATTAGGAACATTCCTGATGGCATGGCAGCAATCTCAGACTAAAGCATTTCCAACAAAATCCTAAAATACACTCGTAAAAGCAGAATGATCAGTTCAACATAAAAATTCTGGACCTGGCCATGCAGGTAAGAAAACTGACATTGCAGATGTCTGGGGTTCTTCCAGCTCTTCTGCACAGTCTTAAAACCTTCCAACAGCCCTTCTTTTTATTGTCTTCAAAGTTTGAACAAGATAGACTGATCTTCTGCTGACACCTGGGCAAGTACTTGTAGTGTTGGCCTCCCTGAAGTCACCCATCAGCAGCTGCATTTTTCCATTCCCTGGGCTATGTACGTGGTGCTGCTGCCACCTCACCCATCTCTGACTCTTCCCTCACCCCATTCCCCGTGTTTCTGGGTGGTGTTTGTTCATCCTTCAAGCTTTTTATATTCTCCTCCTCTCCTCTCTCATGAAGTTATCCCCCCATCCTTTATCATCTGCAGTATTCTGGCTGGTTTCATCTACTCACACACTTTATTTTTGTTCTGATTTTTTTGTTTGGTCATTGCATCACTTCTTGTTTTCTGTTACGATAGTTCTGCTGCTAAGTCAAACTAAACTCAGGCAAACTGAATTGTGATAGTTTTCTTCTTATTCTTCACTTGCCTCCACAAGTATTATTGACACTTCTGTCATGCAGCCACTGGAGGCAATAACTTCACTGTCATTTTTTCCATTCTTCTTTAATCCCTCTTTTCTGCATACTCACATCTCTACCACAGAAGTTAAGAATCTGGACACTACCAAAGGTGAGACACTGATGAAAAAGTGCAGAAGGAAAACTATACTTCACAATTTCAGACTGCTAACTTCTGTCACTGCTGACCCTGCTGGAGTTGTCACTGACATTTAAAGTGTGACCTGAGAAAAAGACCTCACAGAAACATGTAAATGTAGCAAGGAAATGCTCCAAGATGAGTTATGGTGCAACAACAGAGAGTGTATTGTAACAGGCAAATCTACAGAGAACAGAGGAAGAACTGGTCCTGGTAACCTCAAGGTGGACTAGAGACAGATGCCATCTTGAACATTCCTATCATAGCTGCATCCTTTACAGACAGCAACAAGGCAAAAAAAAAAAAAATCATCTCTACCTTAATATGCTTATGAGAACATTTCTAAACAAAAACTTTGTGAAGTCATATTTCTGTGAATGAGCTTTTAATAACAATAAATGTTTAGCAAAACACTGAAGGAGAAGACAAAACACTAACTCCAGGTTGTTCTAAAGAGACATGAGCTCACTTAATAAGAAAACTGGCTACAGCTTCTTTAATACTCATCATGAAACAAGTCACATTTCTGATCTGTTTCTGTAATTCTTCACCTCTAATTGTGAGCATAGTTCTATTCTTGTTTGGTTCTTTGGAACACAAATCAGATGCTAATTTCTTTCTACTCTGAAAAAGTGGTATTTAGTCTCAAAAGAAGGGAAGTCACAGAAGACAGTTAATAATGAGGGAAGTGGGGAGAACACAAGGACTTGGAAAAGTATCTGAAAGGTATCTAGGCACCCAAGTACCAGATACCCATTATCCATTTCCTGGTGCATATAAAATCCCTGAAGCTTTGCAGTCATATCTTCAGGAGTGTACACTTACCTCTCACAGAGTCTGTAATTAACAAAACCCAACCTTTTCACCCTTCTGCAGCAATCATGCCAGGTTTATCCTGAGCAAATCAACTACTGCACTAGGAACCAGTCTGGACTTACCAGGTTCAGCTTTGAATGTCTGACAGCAAAGCAGTTGCTCTGCCCTGAGAGTAGCCATGGGAAAGCTCTGATTTATAGAGCCAAGTATCCTCCCCTCTGCCCTTTTCTTTCTGATAGTGATTGAAGCCAGACAGACTTGGACAGATTGGAGCCAGAGTGCTTGTAAACAGCTTGGATAAATATTGTCTTTTTGTTCTGTCCATGCACAGCATCCAGCACACGATATGGCCCTTACTCTACTACAGTGTATTTTTAAAGTAATACCAACAGCAGCTGCAGCAATAACAAACAACTGCAGGAATTTACCTGATTTTTCAGACTTGACAAATAAAGGAAAAGAGAATATTTGCTCACAGCAGGAGCAAACAATTACACTAAACTTTACAGCAGCTAGAGATCTAAACACAAAAGAAGACAAGAATTTGCTTTCTTGGTCAGTTTAAGCCAATTTACACTGCAGCTTTACCTTCACAGAACTCATCTCCCTTCTTCACTTCACCTGGGAAGTATGATTTATCTGAGTGTCCAACAGGACAATCCTCATGTTCATGGGGAGGTATATGAGGATTGTTTTATCAAGGATGAACAGTCATGCAGGTACTACTGGCTGCAGGAGGATGCACCCTTACTGATGTCTAAGTGCTTCAAATTAGTCTTATTTAAGAACAAATAAAAAAGCATATTGCCTAATGATTCTTATACTCCAGACAACATAACCCACGACAACCAGAGAAAAATTGACTTAAAATTTGTTTCAAACCCACATGCCCTCAGTCCTAGACAGAAGCTTTTTGATTCAGCAGAGGTCTCATTGGCTGCAGGACCATGATTGCACAGTAGACCTTCATTTTCTGTGAATCAAGAAGTCCACAAAAATAAAACTAACAAAAACAGAGCACACTTTATGCATTTCTCTCCTGCATATATCCTTGCTGGATTAAAAAAATAACTTAAAATAAATTTATCTGGTCCTGCAAGACCATTAAAATAACCAGCCAAGTGACTCTTTTACTGCGTTTAGAGTTCCACTCTCGGTGGCAGGTTATCTGAAGACTGATTCCAGCCTAAGAGTCCAGTCAGCCCCTTAGATATTTTTTTTATAGCAGACCTCCAAATAATGGAAAGCAGAATGGTTTTACTGAACATCGACATCTTGTGGGTTTTATTTAATAACTAGAAATGTGAGGCAGTAGAACACTGGGGGGGGGGAAATAAATATTGTAAGTTATTACTCTGTGCAACACCAAAATCCAGCTGCATAAATTAAAATATTCAAAGGAATTAATTCCATTTCAAAGAGAGGAAAGTTTATAACATCACAAAAGGAGAAAAATTCTAGTTATGTGACGAGTAATTCAGGCAACAAGGTGGTCACCTCTGTTACCCTTTTAACTGCAAGTCTCACATGTGGGCACTCAGCCTTTTAAATAATATTTTCCTAGATATCAAAAATCACTTTGGCATGCCCCTGTCTGATATTTGCAAGGTGTGTGTGCAAATAAAGAGACTGGGTGGACATGCTAAGCCAACGCTAGAGATCAGAGGAAATGAGCAAAATTGCTCAAAAGATTTCAGTCTTTTGTGCTTTTCCATATTCTATGTAAGGACAGATCATATCTAGCTAGTGCAATTCCTTATATCCCTGACTCCTCCATTGAACTTTTCTATTCCACTTCTCTATCAAAGAAACCATATTCTTAATCTTCATCTTCTTCTAAGCTGTTGGTCTTGGAGGATTCACATAACTTAATGTTGATGATACCCTATTCTCAGCAACAGTATAGGTTTGCTTGCACAAAAATCACTAGAGTTAGAAATTAAAACTTTATTTATATACACTGGTTCCATATATAAAAAAATATATATAAATAAAGCAAGGCATTTCACTTCTATTAACAAAATCAGCAACTGGGTAATACTCTTTAATGTGCAGTTAACACTCAGTGTAGGTTACTGCACATTACAGAGTATTTGGCAACAGCACTTCAGTTTACAGTTTGGGGACCAGCCAGACCCAGACCATCCCCCCCCAGGGCTGGTGCAATGCAATGCTTGAGCAAGAGTGCAAACACTGCCACAGCTGTCACTTGGTTGTGCAACCTGAGACTTATCTTTTGGTACACTCTGACATTCAGGTCAGTGAAGACCAACAGGTTCCTACCACATTACCTAAATCAGATAATAATCCAGCAGGTCTGCTCTTGACATGCAAACAGGCAATCCACAAGGATCCTCCCATGGAGTGTTCCAAGTGTGCACAAAATGAATAAACAGCAACCCAGCATCAGACTGGGGAAAAAAAAAAAAGAGAGGAAAAAAAAAAAAAAGAGAGAAAAGAAAAGAAAAGAAAAGAAAAGAAAAGAAAAGAAAAGAAAAGAAAAGAAAAGAAAAGAAAAGAAAAGAAAAGAAAAGAAAAGAAAAGAAAAGAAAGGAAAAGAGCATCTCTGTCTTCCTGAGAAGCAGGAACTAGAAGCCAAGATTTTCTCCTTTGGAAATGAAGGGGTAAATCTAAAAGGGTGATTAAATACTGAGATGAAAATCTTGCCAGGACTGATTTTAAGTTTCAAAATTAAGCCACTACACATACTGCTCTGTTCTGTCAAACACTTAATCTATACCCACCGTTGAAAGTATGTTAGAGTGAGTATAGCTCTAATGTCTTTCTTATTATTACCACCAGTTCAATGCACAATAATTTTAGATCTTGATCCAGATGTAAATGCATACTTTAATGTGTTGCAATTTACACAGATGAAAATGATCAAGTTCTTTGCAGGTCTGCTTTACTAGCAAGTGCTTAAAATGCTTTGCTGACACAGGACTTTGGCTCTTACAAGCATGAGAAAAAAAGAGAAAAGCAAATCTTCACCCACGTCTTAGCTTTAGTATGAAAATACGTATTTTTACACATATGATTAGAGCAAATTAATTGTGATGCTTAATGATAAATTCCATATTATACCATTTTTTTTATTACCCTCGTTTTAGTTTTGAAAGAAAAGCTTCACAATTCACTAGGTGTCACCAGACAGAACTGCCTCCAAAATCACTGAGGTCTATAAATTTGGATCACTACTTTGTACTTCACATCTAATTATACCATAGGCTCTCCCAGACCGATGAAAAGCCATAATGCAAATCCAACATCAAATCAATTTATTCAGGGATGCAAATTCCTCCCTTCAGCCCTCCTGTTGTACAACACTGTCATATTCTTCAAGTGTATAGTCAGTGAAAATACATTGTGTTTAAAGTGCAGACAATAGCACATGACACTTTTTCTTTCAGGGACAGTATTTACTACAGATCCTGATAAAACTGCCTCATCGGGAGAGGCTGCAAGAGCAATGGAAAATTGTTCTTACATTTTCAATCAAAAACTAAGAGAGTGGATTTTTTTTATTTAATTACTTAGTGACATTGATAAAAAGACAAGCCTTCATAAAAATAACATAGAAAGCTTTAGAAGAGTTTCAGAGATTGTAGAATCTATCTTTCAGTAAAAAGGTTTTTCAGAGCTAAGTTAGTTGCTGAATCGGAGTGATGTTCTAGCCTGTGCAGTGCCACATTATCTTCAAGTTACCCAAACCAGTAAGCTGGCCTATCAGGATGGCACACTACAGGGCAATGTACCTTTAGTCGTAGACACTTGAAAAAACTGAAACTATCATGTTCTGAAATATGTCCATTAACTTTGTTGTAGTCCTTTGCTATAGTAATCTTTAATCTAATCTATTCTTTATATCTGCAAGTGAAAATATTGAAAAGGTTTTTGCATTCGGGTGGGAAACATTTAAAAGCTAAAATAGAACAACTTGCTTACTCAAATAGCATTACATAGCAAAAAGTCTGTTAACAAAGATCCCTAATTTGACTTCTACCTGTGATTTCACAAACTAAGTCAGGCTAGACTTAGACAGCAGTAGCATGAAGTCAGTGCAACCCACACCTTTGCCAAACCAGTTGAAATAAAAGATTTGCCATGAAGTCCTTTAAATGGTCCTTTAAAGAGGTGTCATTAACAGATAACATGTCCTCACTGTTACTGTATCAAATGCTCAACAAAGGAAAAACAAATTTGCTCTCTCCTCCTTGTGGATAAGGTACAAAACTGAGGCCCTAGTTAAAAATGAGGATTCCTTAAAAGTAAGAGAATTATCCATACTGCTGCAAGGCAAAACGATTTTGGATAATTACAGCCAGCCTACACAGCTGGCTCTTCAGGTTCTGGACAGATACTGCAGCCTGCTCACCACCTCCAGGACACCAGCAGGCACGTAAGGACAGTTGCTGCAGCAGCAGCAGCTGGTGTCCCTGCCCCAGCTGTACACCCTGGGAGGCGAGGGGCTGTGCAGCACAGCAGGCATCCCCGACCACACTGCTCCCCAGATCACTGTGCACACTCTGTTGGACGTTTTGATCATAGTCAATATAGAGCTATAGAAAACCAGGACAAATCTGGGAGGTCAGTACTGCAGGAGAAGCTGAAATGGCATCTCATCTTACCTCGACAGTGAAGAGCTCAGATGTCACAAACGTGCGTTCTTGTTGAATGTCCAAAACTCTAGATCAAATAAGGGATAAATTAGAGATCATGACAATCCTTTGTTATTGTTAAATACTTTTTGTAACTGTTTGTACAGAAGCTATCTTTGTTGCTTTCTGTATCAGACATGTACTCTGTGCTGCAAAGGTTCTTTCACATTGTAAGAAAATGTAAGGAAATACAAGTTTTTCCAAGACAAAACAAGAAAAACCCATTTGATTAACTAATACTTGCCTTCAGAGAACATTTGGAAACATGTCCAAATCTTTAATAATCTTTATGCTATTCTGTGATAATATTTCCCTACTGTTAGTCTGATTTACCTGGCTTCTTCCCGAGCCAAAATCTCCAGTAGCTTAGAAATGTGTCCTGGGCAGTCAGCAAGCACAAGGGAAAACCTGCACACTCTGTTATCGAGTGTCAGTGCCCGAGCTATGCACTGCTGCAGCAAATGTAGCTCCAAGTTTCCACTGCATATAACAATTGCCACTCTGAAAACAGAGAGAAAAATAGAACTTTTTAGTAGCACTTTCCTGTGCACAGGAACCCAAAATCACAGACACTGTATTAAATGTCAGCTTAAGATTTGCTAGGACCACCCTCCAATAAATATGTATTACAAGTATCTCCTGGCTAGAGGCTGGCTGCATTAGTTGGCCCGAAATTTTGTTTTCATTTCCTGGAGATTTTCATTTTGTTAGAGATATTTAGCTAGAGAATTTTATTTCTGTTTCAAATTTTAAATATGTGACATAATTTTTCCCTGGAAGTTCTGATTCTCAGCCTCTTAATGGTTAAATAATATGTATGTTCAAGGCTTTCTGTAACCATTAATTAAATCCATCTCAGCCCTGTAAAATGAGCACAGAAATGAAGAGCAAATGAAGAGCCACATGGCTAGTCTGTGATAATATATCCCTGCAGGGCCAAACCCAATGCTTTGCATTATCCTTTTATGTTAGCTGTACTGAATTGAAACTTACTGCTGCTCTGTAGGTACTCTCTCAGCCTCTTCTAAAGAATTGCCTGAGCAGTATTTTAGCATACAATGCTGTCCACTGGAAATTTTATTTTGTCTTGAGTGCATGTATGTTGAAACACATTCTAGGCTATTTCCTGACCCCAGGCTCAATCTGCTTAAGTACTGAATACTCCACTCCAGATGCAAGAAGGCACTTATCCACACATGTAATGCTAAGCACAAGGGTAATCCCATCGACTGTCTGGGCAGGACTACTTGGGCCAGGGAGGTAGGTGTCACCAACTGACTGCAGAAGACAGCCTAGCTCCTGCTGCACCACAGAGGGGGCTGATTTCCACAGGCAGAATGAGAGAAGACAAGAAGCTGACAAGAGCAGGATGCCATCCTGGCAGAGGTGACTATGCCTGGTGGAGCTGTAAGTGTCTTCCCTCCAAACATTTGAGAATAGAGGGAAATGACAAGATTTGTCTGGTCTCTCCAGGCTGACATTTGTCTTGCCCACCATGGTCTTCGCATCTGTGAGTGGTCTCTTCATCCTGAAGCAGACTTCACAGATAGGCCCATTGACAGTTCAGGGGCAGAAACTGCCTTGTCACTCATGAAACAGGTAGCTTCTCTCCTCTCTGTTTCCTGGGACCAAGGCACTCAACCCCATGCTTTAGCCACTGCTCTATTTGCAGCAGCTGCCATACCTTTTACCCTTCAACTCAGGCAGCTTCCCTGCAACAAGTGCTGCAAGTCCAATAGCCCCTTCTGCATCAACCGTGGCTCGCTCATACTCCAGCAACCTCAGCATTGAAATGAGGATGTCCTCCTCCCTGCAGGCAAGAGAGTTACATCAAAACAAAAGAGCTACCAAAAGCAGAAAACAATTATTTATGTATAAAGGGATTCCTTCCGTCCTCCTGGGACAACTCCAAAGTGGTTTTACAGCAAGCTGTGCTGGTGTGGGGGAATGTGCATCTGAGTCTTGTTATTAACTGAAAGACAGGTTGGCATTTTTTACCAGAGCCACAGTCCTAGCAAAATCCTAGTGGCAAATACATTCTGACAATTTGGGCTTTCAGAGAAGATTTAGAAGAGTGTTGCCAAAAGCTGTCTTCAAGTGTTGCAGACACAAGAAGGGAAATTTTTGCATAATCACCAGGTAATAGTAGCAGGTGAAGTTTTTGCCAAAGTGGTCAGATACATGGGATTGGGTTCAACACCTTCAGTGCCCCTCTTGGAAGGAAAGGCACCCTGTCACCACCATGCCCTTACAGTCTGTGCATTATGGCAGGTCCTCACAACCTGCTCTCCACTGCACATGAAGAACAACCACACCCTGGTGCTACAGCACATTTTCCATACACAGCAACGTTCATCCAGTGTTATCCATTTCACTGCTTTTCTTCACCTACCTCACAGCAACAACTTTATCCACCAGTTTCCCAGTCAGCTGCAAAGAATTGCTGCCAAAACAAAGTCCACTCACATCTGCAGATTTCAAGAGACAAAAAATATCAATATGGCTGCTCTAGACAAGGTCAACATTTTTAGAGTTTTGTGATTGTTTTGTGCCCTTAATGAGTGCAGCACATTGCTGTTATATGATCTTAAGTAGCTTGATTTTTCATGTGACAAAAATGCATTTGGTAATGAAAGACTAAACCTCCCAGGAAGATTTTTGCAATTATGGACCCCTTTAAGAAAACTGGGAATCTTCACTGGCACAGTCACACTGTGAGAGTGATCCTGCAGCCCAGTGGCTCCTCACTGTACAATGAGCCAGCGTGGCACATGGTTTGTTAGCTGCAGCAGGACAGTTACCAAAAGAGCAGACAGGCAGAGCTTACTGAGAAACTTAAGAAGTTGTTTGTTTAAAAAACTCCCGTTTAATCAAAAGCTTCCAGAGATTTAAACACCAGTTAAACAGGATATTCTTAAATTGCTTAACAGCTGAGGTTTTGTTAACTAATTATAGGAGAACAACTGCATGATTTATAAATGCTGTTGCTCTAAGAACAATTTTGTGAGTAAACATCTGAGCACTGCATTTTCTTGCCTTTTAACAAATTCATCTTTTACACAAGAGTTTCCCATTAACTTCACTGGTTAAGATGCTGCTTGTGAGCACAATAGTCAGATAAACACTCTCATATTTCTACATATTCACTTGAACATTTCACAGGTATTGGAAATGGTATTGCACCCCAGGATGGTGATTGTGAAAAGGCTTTAGAAGTGGCTTATACGGCATTAATTAAATTCTGACTCTTCTGAGGTTTAATTTGAAGCGTGTTTGGACTGAATTCATGAGGGATGAATATGGTTGGAGAAAAAAATAATTCCTCTTCTTACCTCCATAAAAGTGATGATTGCTGCAAGCCTGATCTTCTGTTGGGTGGCCAGCCTTTAAGGATTGTTGCAATACAGGGAAACTTTCAGATTCAACCCCCTGGGGAAGAAGGGTTGTCAAGTTTTATTGAGCCAGGTATTATAGAAGTCACCACCAAAATGAACACCAAAAAAGCTACACAAAGTTTCCTTAATTGATTTCAAATTGAAGAATAACTGTGCTATCATTGAATTTATCCTGTGGCTTATCCAGGGACAAACTTTTCCAGTAAAAAATTACTTCAAAACACAGAACTGGATTGAATTAATCTTGGAAGAATCTTCCCACATTTTTATCTTAAATCCAGGCAAGAAGCCAAGGGACAGGAGGCTTCCCAGGCTCACAGTAGCTCTTCTTCTTGGTAAAGCCCAGGGACACAGATAGTCCTAGTCCTCAGCATATGCAGTCTCTACCAGCGTATCACTAGATAGCAATGCCTTTTGAAAAGATCAGTGGGCAACCCTGTCAAAACACAGCACTTTACGGGTGAAAGGAAACTTACAATTACAGAAATATGTGGGTCGAGGTGTTTGAGTGCAGCAGCTGACCCTGCCAGCAAGCCACAGTGGCCTCCTGCAGGGAAAATCACCGCGTCCAGCTTTGGCACCTGCTCGTACACCTCCAGCCCCACGGTCCCCAGGCCTGACAGGTAGACAGCACTGTCCTCCCTGCAGGAAGAAAGGGCACAGCTCAGCAGGGCTCTCACCACAATAGTTCAATCTACTACTTTGCAGACACCATTCAGCAGAGAAAAGTATACTCGAGAGGAAAACACCAGCACGACGGTGAGACAAGACACTGTCATCAGAAAGACCAGTGTGCACAGTGTGAAGCGTGCTGTTACCTACTGGGAGAAAGCTTGGGCCACTGACAAACCCACATTGCCTCCAGGAGGAAGAGCATGTGCCTCTGTTGTTACCAGTATCTGCTGTTTACAGAGCTGGTAAATCAGAAGTCATGTTTCCATTGCCATCACTTCCTTCGGCTTTATAAATGTGAAATGCAGCAGACCAAACTAAAAGCAAAATCTCCTTCTCTGTATTTGTAATTGGAATTTAGTGTTTGTGACAAATGGGAATTTTCATTAAATATAAGCACTGTGTTCAACCTCACAAATACCAAACAGATTGCTACAGAGTTAAGTCCACAATCCAGGGAAAATATCTGATAACTTTACATTACTCTGAAAGACTCTGGGAGGGTAAGAGAAGCATTTAGTTGTGCCAAAATACTCACTGGTAAAACGCTTCTAGGCAAAGGTGATTTAATGAGCAGAAGAGGGACAAACAGAGTCAAAAGTCTGCAAAAAAGTCCACTGCACAGTCACACAATCACTTGGATCTGTTTCTAAAATCTGTTTTGCATTTTATTTACATGTTAGCAATGATGTAAATGTGGTATGATATATGAATGAAAAATATGAAACCTCTGTATGTTCTGCTTTTTCTGCCAAATGGATATCAAAACAGAATTATAGATCAAATTACTTCTCTTGATTTACTTGACCCAGGAGGTCTGGGTACTGGGAAGCTATGCTTTTATTTTCTTAGACATGCACAGAGAGGGTCAGCAGAGGAGCACAGAATGCCTGCAAGGTGGAAACCAAGGCCCTCTTGAGAAGTTACCTCACATATAGCAAAACACAGCAGATTCCTCTGGGCAAGAGTACATAACCAGACAAGAAAGGATGGGAGCCATGAACTTTCAGTCCTGTAGCACAGCTAAAGGCAATGGCAAGAAATCATAATGGGATAAATAACCAGCGCTTGAATTCATTGTCTTTATCAAGATACTGAAGAGCCTCTCTCTTCCTTCTTAAATGTGACAAAAGATGTGACTGGTCTCCTGAACAATTCTTCTAGAGCCTTATTCACAAATAAGATTCAGAACTGAGTTGTGGAGCTACCCTTGCCATAGTTGCATGGGAAACCAGGGGGACCTGCAAAAATGAATGAGGAGCTAGGATAAGCAATTTACAAGTTAAGCTTCTCTAACAACAGCAAATTCTGTCTGAAGAAGACTGCTCTGGGTATGAAGACTTATTAGCAGTTTGAACGAATGTTTCAGATAATCATGCTCTGCTTGTTGACATCTAGGTGTGTGTAATTCAATCTGTAGCACTCTTACCTCTCTGATTCACAAATCAATCTTTCTCACATCATGACAGAGGTAGGTGTTACTTACTGGATTCTTCACATGGCGCTTATAATGAGGTCCTGAACATCTACAGTTATTAAAAATCCTATATTACCTAAGCAGCAATTACACAGATTTCATTATTGAATTCCAAAGTGAAAAATCACATTTCCTTTCTGGCATTTCACAGGAAGTTGTAGTCATATTAAAAGTTTCCTTCCTCTAATTGAACTCTTGCATGATCATTTTCGTAACACGGCATTTTAATTGCACTCAAGAATTGAGAAGAACTGACACACCTAACTCACACGACATGACCTGTGCAGGTAAAACCAAGGACAGTCATGTAATGTTTACTTTGGGAAGGAAAGAATGAATTGTTGGTTAAGGAGATCCAGAGACCAATTTACTGGGGGTTTCATGCAAGCTAGAATTCAAGTGAAATAATTTCAGAAGCTCCATTCTAAAGCACAAGAGATCCACTGATGTTTTACATTCAGGTTTGGCGAGTGATGATGAAAATGTGTCAGACACATATTGGAGAATAGCTACCCATATATCCGTGCATCTCTTTGAAAAAGCTCTCCCAGTCTACACCTAACAAAATATACTTCAGGCATCCCATTATAAAAAAGCTTACAATTGTAGTGGGGCTTTCTTTTTTTTTTCTCTCCAGAGTGTGAAAAATGTAATCTCTGAGGTTTTAATTAAACATACTAAGGCATTTAATAACTGCTTCTTGTAACTTAAAACCTGAATTAAATCAGAGAGTTTTGATATTATTAATGGCAACATGCACTTTCAGAGTTCTTCAGTGCTGGATGCTGAAGTCCTTCACATGCATTGTCCCTGGAGCTTCATGAACCTGGAGAATATTTGCCTTGTGTAACTGAAATAATTATTTGGGGAGAAGGGGAAGATTAAATATGAAATGACAAGAAATTAATATAGTACTTATGTGCAAACATGGTAGCCAATGCAACTCAGCTGGGAGGCAACACATCAATTGAAATATGGCTGACAGAAATTTGGAGATCATGAGATTATGGAAAACTGGTTTTCAAGAAGAGTCTAAATTGGTTTGAAATTCATCGGGATCTAGGGCACCTCATTCCCTTTGGTTTCTCTATAAGTCTCAGTCTGGGACAAGGTTGTGTCCATGGTGACAGACAAGGCACACCAGCCAGCCCTGAGGGTCACTTGCCCTCAGCAGAGCTAATGGTGCAGTCGAAGAGCACAGTTTTTAATATTGCTTTCCCAGTAAACCATCTGGGAATGAAGTGAGGACTTTCTCCATTCACTCATTCTGGGATCCTCTTCCAAGCAAGGTTACTCGTTATTATTATATTCAATTTCCAGGAGCCAAGGGGGAACAAGCACCCACGGAAGTAGGTGCCATTCAAACATGAAGTGATGGATAAAGTCTGCACAGAGGTGGCAATGGGGAGGGATAACAACAATCCAGCTCAGTGTATAAGAGGGACTGCCACCTACCTATTGCTAATGATTCACCCCTCCACGCTTTTGGAAATCTTACTTTAAAAAAGGTAAGGAAAAGAAAGGGAAGAGAAAGGAAAGGCAGCAGAGACTAAAAAAAGGGGCTCAGTTCTAAATATTTTTTCCTGCCTTATTTTATTCTAATATTGTTTTTGTTAGATCTGGCTTGTTCAATGACCTCAAATAGTCCCAACTTAAATTTATACTTACCCTTAGCTACTTTAAATGTATGTGTGAAGTAGCCTCTTTAATGATCTTTTTTCAAGGCAGAATTGCAGATTTGTCACTCACAGCAGACATGAACATTTTACAGCATTAACCTTCTCTTGCTTTACACTGGCACTGAAGTCTTTGTATTTAAGGAGGTTTTGGTATTTGTTTTTTTTGGTTTTTTTTTTCTTTTACCCACCTTACTCCAAACAGAGAAACCAAAAATCAATGATATTCATAATGCTTTCTGACAGGGTTCATAAAGGGTTAACAGATATCCATCATCACACTAGTCCATATAATTCCTAATCAAGAAGAAGTTCGCTTAATTTGGAGCAAGTGTGTTTCATTTTGATTTCCAGGAAGTTCGCCTAATTTGGAGCAAGTGTGTTTCATTTTGATTTTCATCCCCAAAAGATTCATGATTTGTGCCTGGGAATATCTAACTGTCCAATACTCCAGGTAATGGGGACATTCTGATGACCTGCAACCAAATTTTAATTAAGTTAATTGTTTTTTCAGAGCTACTCAAGTATCTACACTTCCTAATCAGCCTGACTTTCCACTTACTCTTCAAGGTAGAGGTAACCATTCTCCTGCGCCAACCTCCTTGCGTGCATCTGGGAATCCTTGGCAGTGGTGCCATAGGATATGACCATGGCACCGTACTCACGGCACATCTTCACTCTGGCTGGGGACGTGCTGGTTGACATGATGACAAACACTGGGACACGGAGCCCTGAGGCGTGGTAAGCAACAGCCATGGAGAAGTTACTGTCCGAAGCAACAATCACCCCTTTTCTTTGCTGATCCTAAAAAACAGGGTTGCTTATTGCACATTATATGGTGTCACAAAGGTGTCCCCTATGATCCTGGATCATTCCAATGGTTTGATGTCCCCCTTTTCTTCCACTAGCTGGTCACATATCATATTATGATACAGTACATGCGCATCTGGTGTGATCTCAAGTCTTAAGCACAGAACCGAGACAGCACAAGATCTCTCCCTGTTCCTGCACCCCTCTGGGTTCACTTCTTGATTAACTGCAAAGCCAGCTGATCCCAGAACAGCCAGTATCAGGTGTCTCTTCCCTGCCTGTGTGAACTTATTTAATTTCAGGTTTGCCTTTAATAGAAGGATTTATTCATATTATTACAAAAGTGCAGGAATAACGACTGTTCCTTGGGATGCTGTATCATGCCTGTTACATTTACTGCAGAGACTCAATAACCTTCTATTACAAATGATAAATAGGCTGTTTATGTAATGATACTGAAATTCATTACAAAACCAATTGGTGATTTAGATCCTTCTTACCACCCATTGTAACTCAATTTCATCATAACTTCAAGTGTGGTGGTTTTAACATGTCAGAAACATAATGCGCATAGAAACGCTGCCATCTAAATGTCACAGAAAAATGCTGATGTTAATATTTTGCAAGCTTTTCTTTAAAATATTTTAAAGCATTTCACCAGCAGATCAGCCAAGCATAATAAAGAAGTAAATTATTTTACATTCATATACTTCCAGATCTATCTCTGTTGTTCAGCACAATGGCTCAAAAGGCAAGAATCACTGCAAATCCATGGACATAACAGGTAAAATTATCTTTAATTCTGCTTCATTTTTGTGAAGCAGAAATGCACTATTTCTTTTTGAATATTTTGTTATACCTGAGGCAATGATGTCAGAAGGTAAAGTACTCCTCGTTCCTTCACAGACCCCGTGTACTGGAGGAACTCTTTCTTTAGGTAGATATCCATTCCATACTGCTTGGATAACCTAGAATACTGGAGTATAGAAATATTATTATGGGAATGTACCTAAAAAGAAGAAAAATCTTCCACACTCCATCAGCTCCCTGGTAAGGAATGCATTCAACTGCTGTATGAGCCCCAAAAAGTAAATTTCATAGTCTGCTTCTTTTAAAACACATGATATGTTGTTACCTTGCAGATTCTTCTGGATTATGGAAGTAATTTTTAAACTTGCAGCAGTGAAATATGTTCCCCATGCCATTATGAATTCTGAAAACAGCACTTGTTTTGGTTTTACTATTAAAATACAGATATTAAAATAAGTATTTTCCATTATTTATAAAAATCTCATATGGTCTGATACTTCAGCACTTGACAGAAGTGGATATTGAATACCCAAAAAATAATCTCCCAACAGATACAAAAAAAGAAAATTCCTCCTCAAGTGCCATTATGACTTGACTATGGATTCTGCCACTGATTCACTAATGAATATTGTCTATTTTGCACCCTAAGGCCAGTATGACATTAGTAAAGACATTTCTTAGTGAAAGAAAAATGGAAATAATAAAAAAAATTAATTAATTCCCAGAATTGCAAGTGTAACAGCAGGTGTTTGAAAATGTGCAGTTTGGAACAGAAAGGATCCCTGAGCTGAGAGGAATTAGCAAGGAGAGCACATGTGATGCAATGTCCAAGCACATCATTTTCTTCTTTTTTTTTTTTTTTTTTTAATGGCAAACCTCTACCATTTTTTACAATAGGACACTCACACCATGCACCGCCTTCTTATTTCCTATTGCCATATTACCTAAACCATGAGTTTTAAACAAGAGAGCTTATGAAATGGAGCTGCAAGAATCCTGTGGGTCCCCATTCCCTGGGCTTCACTGCGTCTCTGTTCCGTAATCAGCTTTATTTCTTCCATTGCCTACCAAAGCGAATGAGGACCCAGGGACTTAGGGGATCAAGCCCTCGTTTATAATTCAGAATGACAGATTAAAAGACAGCATGACAATATACTTTAAATATTTGTCTCAGGAAGTGTCTGGCGGTGTCATGCACATTGTACATAGTGTACACAGTAATATGTACCGGCCTGTTTTTCAGACTGAGCCTTTTGAAGTGAATTTAAACTAAATATATCTAAAGCAGGTACTTGCTTTAAGGTATACAATTAAACTTAATATTTCAAATTGATGCTTCAAGGCTTTTTAGTGGATTTACAAGCATATGTTAAATTCCTCACCCATAGGTGGGGCCAGATTCTCTACTTTGCTTCTGAAAATCCTGCAATAGCAGCTACCACTTGTGGCTCCTTTGCAAATCTGGCTGCAGAATTTAAAAAATGGAAAGTGCTTAGTACACTAATAGGATAATAGCTCCTATCCTAACCAACCTAATCTATGGATAATGGCTATCCAAAACAGAACAAGAACACTAGACAAGAAATACTACTTCACTGGTACTTCCCATGCAGTACTAGTTTTATAATTTTTGGGTTTTAAGAGAATCTTGGATTCTAGAGTGAACAATGAGAAAGAGCATTAAAGGAGATCAATCCTGTGACTTTACAAAGTTGCTGACTCTCCTACATTTAAAAAATACTAAGTCACTCTTTACCACAGGAGTGGTGTATTCAGGCTATTATTATTACGCCTTAAGTTTGACACTCAATATTTTAATTGTTTAGGTTATTCTTTTCTTCTTCCTTTAACCGAGGCTTTTTTTTTTTTTCATGTAGCCTAAATATAGAAACCACCTCTCACAAAGGAGGTGTCAGTGCTATTTTCAGCTGTACTGACCTGTTGTGTGACCTTGTAAGACTCTTTGAACCAGCCTGTCAGTTTTCCCTTTTGTCACCATGTTCTAATCAACAGAGCACAGATAGGTTGTCTTATGTACAACACACACCACAAAGCTAACACAAAACAAACCTTCAGGAGCCTACATCAGTAACTGAACCAAGTGCTCAATTTAATGCCAATTCTTTGTTTTCTTATAATCGCTACCTCTATAATGTCTGTTACTATCATTCATGATTCATATCTCAGCTCCAGTCAAACTCCATCCATGGTCTTAACTGCAGATGAGGAATCACCCTGTAAAATATTTCTCCAGTCAATTAACTGAATGTGTTATAGTCATACTTGTTTTAAAAATCCAAACAAGTTCCCCTAAAAGGGGCCCTTACCTCTCTGTGAGGAGTTAAAGATTATCTGTGATTTTCTTGATACCCCTTTAAATGAAAGTACACTCTACTTTCAATACTTTCCTTCTGAATCAGTGCATGAAACAAATACCAATGACTTCTGCAGGAATATTATTCTGTAGGTTGGTTAATTTTCAGGGTGGGAGACACACTTTGGAACAAATAGATGGTTCAGAGGATGGGACCAAGGTGGACTTCACTAATTTTCAGCTGTTGGTCTGATCCATCAGAGCCGACAATGTGAAGGTCCTTCAATGACCCACATGGCCAAGGCTCACACAGTCTCACACTGGCAGGAGCACAGAGGCAGTATCCTACAACTGCTTGGCAGAATTGCATGATGCCACAATCTGTGGGAAGGAATGATCCAGTCTATCAAAGGGTACAGAGCTAGCTAGTTCTGCTGTCCAAATTAAGCCATGACACTTTCTCTCTCCTTTGTCCATAGATCTTTGTAGGGCAAGATTAAACCCATCTAACAAGTACGACCAGAGCTGTCAAATACAGAAGTGCAGTGCTCACTACTTGCAATATTAGTTGCAAATCTTCTCTTCCTGGGACAGTTCTTCCACAAAAGCAGAAGACTGACACTCCTGCCTAGAGCACTGTCTGTGCTCTCACACAACAGTCTGGGAGTTTTGGAGACAAAACAATATGATGTGCAGGGTTGGTACACTCTCCCTGTTCATCCAGGCCCTGCCACCCTGACCACACATGCAGCACATGTGTTTGCTCACCCTCCCCACTGCCTTCCCAAGCAAGCCAACTTTTCCATTCTGAAAGGAAATCCAGGTGCATCTGCCAGGATGGTTAACTCCCGAGTCACACTGAACAGGTAGTATATGAATGCCAAACATTTCAGTTTTACTCCCTGCACTCCAGCCAACAGTACCCTGAAAGGTTTTTTGCCACCTTACAGCCTCAAGTGGTCTTGTATCATGCCCTTTGTCATGAAACACATTTCAGTAGTATGCTACAAAAACCACAGCTATCCCAATTTTAGGAACTCTAAGCTAAAAAAAAAACAACCATAACAACGCCGAAAGAAACTATGATGCCTTTGGATCAGCAGGGACCATCTGAGAACCAGAAGAAATGCTGTGCCTTTCAGACCTGACCACTTTGCTCCAGGAACCGTTAACTCCAAGTTGTGGCTCAGACACCAAGGTCCTTTCCCCATGCAGGCCAGAAACACAACGTACAGCCAGTGAAGCTGGCAGAGGGCCCCAGGTCAGCAACAGGGAGTGAACTGGGGCTGCTGCTATGAATTGCCATTTGGCAAAGATGCACTTTTCACCCATTGCAGGGAAAAGAGGAGGTTAGCCACAGGGTGCCTACAGGAGTCTTCATGAAGAGGTCACGACAGTAAAAATACATGAGGAATCATATAGGTTGCCATTGTACTGCTCTGGTGCTTCAGCAGATGCTGGTACATTTATGGGAGTGTCTCAGCCATTTTCATATCTGGGCTGATTGATAGGAGCATATGTTTGTGTGTATATACCTTAGTGTCCTCATTTTGTCAAAGACACATGTGGCATAATCACCTGGTTAAAAAACATATCCAGCCTTGCCAGGTTGGCCAGGCTAGGAAGGAAGATCTGTACTTGCAGCCTGTTCAAATACAAGGGCTGGTTCCAAACCAGACCCTCCCATAAGACAGCTCTGCAAAACACCAATACTCTGCCATCTCCAACTTGGGCTCCTCATTGCAAGAGTTTTTCACCAGGAGCATAACACCACAGTGCATTAAGTCTATGCCTAACAAGGTTTGTCCTTTGTGTACAGGTTACTGCAGTCTCTGAACATTTAGGTTAGTTGAAAAAGGTAAGAAGAAAATTATTATTGACAATTAACAACTAATAGGAATATGAGTCATCTTGCACAGATCTACCTGCTGCAACTCACATATTCTTGCTGCATTTCTGATCAACCTTTATACAGTCAAAAAAAGAAACACTGAGTGAATACAGAACGAAAAAGTCTCCTTACCATGCACGGGGTTTTCTGAACACCACATTGGATTTTAAAAGCTGCTGCACTAATATCTTCAAATTGAATCAGCTTGTTACAGCTTGACAGGCTGGTCCTACTGCTTGACTGAGGGACGTGGGAAAGGGCATCTCTAGGTAACTCCTCGTTACGACTCACTACCTTCATTTCCCAGGTCTTCACCTCCCCGTTCAGGTAATCCTCCTCACCAAAATCTTTCAGTCTCTCGGGATTGATAGAGGGTGGCTTCTGCACGATGAGGCCATTTCTTATGGGCCCACCCTCACAACAGTGAAGATCACAAAGTGCTGGGGCATCTTGTTTCTTTATTTTGTTGTCATCTCTAAAAACAAATAAAACAAACTTGTTACAAAAGTTTGGATTATTAAAGGCTTGACATTTAGCATTTAAGAAGAAAGCACATCTCAGCTGCTCTTTGCAAGCCTCAAATAGGCAGACTTAATTATTACCCATCTTGCACGTGGATTGAAAGCCACTGCAACCAGACAGTTTTTAGAAAAGCCACAGATAACCTGACATGTGGACAAGCTGGGAAACTGTCATAACCAAGAAAATAAGATATAATATGTGCTGCCTGGGCAGCCAAACCTCCCTCAGTTTTCAGAACTCAACTGACAGTGATCACAGTTAATCGCTTCCAGAAATTTTGGAATAACTGGAATTGTATTTGCTGTATGCAAGTCCATGTTTTTCAAAAAAGATGAATAGCTGCTGCAAACCATTTCCTTATACTATTAAAAGCAGTAACAATTGTCATTATATTGTACACAAGAGGTCTGCCCCTCTGCTTTTGCATACTTGCAGAATGTACCCCTGACAGTCATCAGCTGCTTTGTCACAGGAAGGCAATTATTTTGATAAGGGGTAACAATTATAGCCAACTACAGAGCTAAAGACCTAGATCTCCTGATCTGTGAGTTAGCGCTTCATAGATAAAAACATCTGTACATAAGATGACAACATCATGCCACACAAACCTCCTTCCCCCAGAAACTTTGGAGAGACAACACTTTGCTACAAAAATTTGATGGTATTCCTACCTTAGACTGTCTTACTCTATGGTCCACACTGTTCAGGCGTTCACAAGGGATAATATACTACACAGGAGGATTTTGCAGCCCTACTGACAAATAAAACAAAACTTCTAGTAATTCTTAAAATCTGGAGAGTAACGTGGGGGAAAAGAATCATTAAGCAAAAGGGATAGTAATTTGGAAAAGAGCTGAAACCACCCCCAGCCTGTGGCTATGATTACACAGATGGTAAAAGCCCCTTTACATGAAGGACTCAATATTAATGTATTCAGAGAAAAGGGTATTCAAATAAATACACACATTAGATTATTTATATTAAATGTTTTCACAAAGTAATGTGGATTTAAGTTACACAGTTATTCATCAGCAGGGCTGGCTAAAGCAAATGTCACCCTAGTTTTACAGCAGCAATCACCACCGTAATAAGCTTTGTAATCATTTCCAAAAAGAACTTTAAAATATTTAGAAACAGCTGCTTTTGGCTGTGTCATAATTTTTTGGTGGTCCCATAATCTATGCCAGTTGCTCTGCTTCCTATTACACTTCCAACTGTTCCACTGAGGACTTCACATAACAGTAGGGACAGCATAAAAGGTTTTGTTACTTGAATCAAGTGATATACCAGTAGCACCAGTCATTCCGTATATCCTCACAGGAGACAAAGAAGGACAGATTTTGTAGCAAGAGCTTCTCTCTCCAAAATGAATGAGTTCAACACTGTTTTTCTAAGATAAATACAGTACTTACATGTTCGTAACTTGTTTATGTTGCCACTTGTGATTTACAATATTTTCCAAATAGCACATCTTCAAGTTGATACACCCAAACACCAAGCACTCTCTTTTCACATTAAATGGCTTATCAAGAACCTCTATTCCATAATTTTCTTCATTTCTGCTCTTCTGGGCTTAGAGGGTTGCAACACTTAACAAAGATGTTAAGCTTCAAGTATTAACTCTCATGCATATTAGTTAGATTAATGCAAAGGTGAGAAACAGATCAGATTGGCTTCCCATGAACTTGTTTTGGCACAGCCCATGGTTCTGGGAACCAAATAGGTCTGTTGCATAAACAACAGCTATCATCATCTAAGAGTATACATCTCTGTTAGGAGTTTGTTCCCTACTCCCAAGCCCATCCCCATTCCCCAACCCTTAAAAATCCCAACAGTGAACACATCTTCCATATCACAGTAGCCCATAACCACCCTAACTACTCTGAAAAGAGAATAATAAGAGTTTATCTCTAAATGCATTATCTAAAATGCTTAGAAAGCATTAGGAATGTATTATACTTCTTACATTGGCAGAGGGTTAAAAGAGTATGTATAAGGTAAAATAATACACAGTTAGAAAAAAAGACTTGGGATTTTTCTGAGTAATTTTTTTTTTTTAACTGACTGGCATTTGAAACAAAAGATAAGCTCACAGTTTTTCATTGCATCTATTGCAATCAGCTACAAAACCCCATAACAATACCAGCAAAAAATGACCACAAAATGTCTATTGATGCACCAGGATTGTGCTAGAAGGTACAAATTACAGGGCAACACCCCACCACACTTGAGTCATTAAATATTTTCTTCTCTGCAAATTGAAAACAAAAATGGGATACGGCTTTTTGGCCCTACTCTTGGAATTTTTTATTTTTTTGTTTGTTTGTTTGTGGGGGGGTTTGTTTGGTTTTTGGAATTTTATTTTTTTTTGGTAGAACAAGGGAGGGAAGTAAATAAAATGCTCAGTCCTTGATCTGCAGCACTGCTCTCATGAACAGTGATTATTTGCTCAGGACCGTAATGGAGACAACACTTTATGACCATTGGAAAAAAAGAAGTCAAACAGATGTAAAATGTAAAGGCTCTTCAACCTTGAGATAGGTTCAAAGTACATCTTAAATATTACTATCTCAATGTTTAATATTAAAATTATCATCCATTTGCATCTGAAAGATCAGCAACCTCATAACCAAAGAAATATCATACTACTGTATATGCATTGTGTATATTTATTTCAAATGAATTTTTACTCTCCTTCCACATATATATTTTTATTTTGCATTAGTGAATGACTTTTTTCACTACTGAACCCACCTGAGTGTGCCACAGACCCACTGAGAGCTCTCAAACTCCCAAGGTAAACAGGGGGTTTAGGTTTGGCAAGTCATCACAAAGAGGAAACTAATAGCCCTGTTGGGTCAGATCCATTTCTCTCCTCAAACAGGGTCTGTATGCTTGGCACATACCACCTCAGTATGAATTTCTGATGCAGAAACAGTCAAAGCAGGCAGCAAATCATGCAAGTGCTTGGAAGAAGACATCATGTGACTTCTCATGCACAGTAACAAAGTATGGCCCCTTTCTAATGATCATGCCCACCAGATGAAAATCTGAGCCAATATAAATGCAAACCCCAGCATCATAAAACATTACTCCTTTCACATGAATCACTTTTCTTTTTTTGGAGTTTTTCTCAGAAAGTTTTCATATAAAAGTCTTTTTATTTCCAACCATAAAACAAATATCCAGCTGGCAGGCTTTGTTACGTGGTTATAAATTATAACATTTTACCTTTAAAATGATTAGTAAAAGCAAACATGAAAATACAGTTTATAAACCTACTTTTTCAAGAAGAGCTGCTCAGCATAACTGCAAGAAATAACAGAGAAGATCTGTATGCAGACATTCCATGAATAATTAAAGAACTGGAAAAAATACAATTTGTTTAAGCAGATAGCTTTACACAGTTCGAAGTCTTAAAGCCAATGCAAAGAGTGTGTGCTGAAATGTACTCTTAGAAGGATAAAAAGCAACAACTTGAAATGAATAATTTCTCTGTTTCCAATTTGTTTTTTGAATATAATAGTAATTTTTATCAAGTTGAACAGCACTGGGGAAAGTTTGGGCAAGTTCAGAAAAATAGTAACATAGCAATAAATTAATGAATCCAGCAAAACTAATTTTAGGAAGATAAAATAGAGGAGTTGTGCATACTATACCTGAAGACCACATTTATTATCTTCTTTACAGTGAAAAGAAATGCCTATGCAGTTGTCCTGCAATGACAGGACAATTACACGCCTCTGTCAGATGGAGCACCTGCAGATCAGCTTTCTCAGGGTCCACATGGCAACAGAACAAACAAATTAAACTGATACACTGGATCTCTTCAGCTTCTAAAACTGAAGAAGTGAAAAATCTATGCAGCCATCGATCTCCAGAAAATAGCCAACTGGAAAGATATTGTCACTGTTTCTCCCAGTATAAATGCTAGGGGTATATCACATGAAAGAGGCAGGTAGAAAATTTGAAAGCATGCTGCTTCATGGGTAGAAATCCAAGTGCCACAGAAGGAAATGAAACCTTGTTACTGTACGACTGAAAACTCAGCATTTCTTTGTCATTTCCACAGCAATTTTTGTTGTCTGCATTCACAACGATACACACTCTCCAGGAAGAGGGACCAACAGAACAGTAAAAGTTCTGCATTTTATTTTAGCATCATTAGAGGTCTATGCCATGACAGGAATTAAAATTTCCATGCCCAACTGGGACTGGTCAGAGGCAGAGTGCAAACTGGCTAGTGTTAAGCCTGAATACCACTTCAAACGATTCCAATGAATTGTGGCTAGCCTGTAATTAACTCATCAACACACATGCATATATACCTATGCACATCTACTTTCTCTCTATATTTCATTCTTTTTTAATGCTTTAGGGGTAAGGGGATCTTAAGCCCATGTTTATATGCTGCCATCACCCTCAGGCTCCCTCAACTCCCTCTTGGAGCACACTTAGCAGCAGACATTGGTAAAGTTTTAGACATGCTTGTCATCTGCTTTCTCTGCTTTCTTTTTCTGCATTTTTATGCCTGTAAGTTGAGAATGCTTATTACAGCAGAAAGTGGCCCCTTTAGAGTCACTTCCACCTCATTCTTTGAAGTGTTGAGCAGAGATGGGTTATGCACTGGGAGAGACGAGGCAGAGGGAAGCAGTCTGCTGCAGGGAGCTGCATGCTCAGTTTATGACTGGGATGTGACTAGGGTTGGGATCTCCTCTCAAAGGAGTGAGAAAAAAGTAGTCCTAGGATATGACACAGAGGGCCCCACCCCTCACCTGAATCCTTCTTTTACCCAGAATCTCCCCATGTCCACTAATCCTTTTTATTCCATGTCTCCAGCCCTGCCTCCTCTGACCCCTCCAGATGCCTTGGCCTTCCACATCCCTCTGATACCCTCCCCATTTGTTGCAGTCTCCTTTCCCAATAGCTCTCAAACATTCCCATTCCACCCCAACTCCTTTTGGCAGCGTGAATCCCCATGGGCTCCCCTCCTTCTGCAGAATCCCTGCTGACCTCACCCATTCCCCTTTACTTTTTTTTAAACTCTCTCAACAAACACACCCAAACGCTGCAATAGCAACAATTCTTAAATATGTTTCAGCAGCTTGTGCGAGCAGGTCTTTATGATACAGAAATGATAAAGAAATTGAGGCTTGCTAAGATATGAATGTCAAGAAGCATCATAAAAGACATTTTCACAGGCAGCAATTCTAAGTGCCTGCACTGTGCAGTGTCTGAGAGTCATCCAGAGGGCTACAGTGAACTCCACCAGGTACAGGGCAGGCACATTCTAAACTTTTCTTGGGCAGTACATTGAAACAGATCAAAGACTATACTGCACTCAAAAACTTTCTTGAATTATCATTATCCACTTTTGTAATAATATGATTGCTCCTAAATCACATAGGAATCAACATCTTCCACTAAACAGAAAGACAAGTAAGTATTAGCTCAATTTTATTGATAGAAACTGGGGCACAGACAGATCGAGTGACTTGCCTAAGACTCCCTCAGGAAGTTCGTAGCAGGACTACTTAGCAGAGTGTCTTAAAGACTAAGGGATCAGGGCTTAGTTACTAGCCTGTATGCCACAGAAGTTAGGGGCTGTATGCACCGTGACTATCCAGTATAGGTAGGTACATAATAACCAAGCTTTGAGATTGAGCAGGCATTTTGAACTCTACACACCATATACAGGTCTGACAAATCTGTGTGATGTTACACCAGCAACAAATGCAAAGAAAGCTCTGGTTCATGCAAGGAAGAACCAAGCTGCATTATCACTTCTGATAAAATATCTCCTTACTTTCAGTAAGTCAGATTTACCAGAGCCTGAGCCTGTATCTGCCTTCATCTGTGGTCATAATCTGTTGACAATCTTCTGTACACACTACTGAAATGTCTTTGCTTACTCCTGGCAATGGCAACTGGGTGTCAGTTACTAAATAGGTAACATGAGAAAAAGTAATCTGAAAACAAGAACTCAAAAGGTCACCACCCCTCTTGGTTACCTCTGCTTCAACACCTTCCAAGTGCTCCTCAAACAGACCCATCCCTCTAAGCAGTTTTTATGGGGCACCCACAGCTGTGACTATCAAAGGATCACTATCAAATGCTGCACAGTCTGGCAGTTAAAACCCTTCAACTAATTAAACTTTTTTCTGCTCTCAGTTAAATGTATTCTGAGTTTAGAGGTTCCCTGGTGATTAACAACTCTCCATAATTCACTTGTAATAAAGAACAAACAGTGAAACTCACACTGGAGGA